GGAAATTCATCATTTTTACTGTAGTTGCTGCCAAATGGTTGGGAGAAGCCAAACCAGGTTGGCAAGTGTGGATAAAATGGATGAAGTGGATTTGAGAGGTTGGGAAAAAGACAAGGGTGAAAGTTGGGTTCCTATAGAGAAGGGGGGCTCCTTGAAGACCTTCCCTCTCGTCCTCCTCATCCCCTCCTACCTGGTTTCTAGCTACTCAATTGTCTTTGTGGATCTTGTGAGAACAATTGTGATTGAGTTAAGTTCGTGTAACAGCTTACCCCCTAGTGCGCCGGAATTGATAACTCAAGATTTACTTCTTCTTTGAATACGATTCAAATTGGGAGCTGTAGTTACATACGAGAGCTACAACATGTATAAATTTAATCAAGTTTCAACTGTGGAATTTTTGTCGACGATGTTTTTTGTGAAGTCGATAGTTCTGTCCAGAAATTAGTCCAACGATTTTGAGATATTTCGCCCCCTATTCTTCATACACCCCGTCCTTAGTCTCTAACATACAGGCCCATGAGCTTGTCAGAGGTCCACTGGTGATCCCCGATTGATCCTAGGGAAGGGTTACAGGCACGTTGGCCTAGGGGGTTATGGGCGCACTGACCCGCTACACAAACAAGCCCTTTTATCCCAATGGTCTAGTGGTTGGGATTCTGACAGAGCTTGCTTGTGGGACGCGCATGGCTGGGGCGCGCGCGAGCGTGTGCTGCCGCCCTCACTGAGTAGGGCGTCCTCTTGAAATTGAAGTAAAGGATGAGGAAGGATCAATAGCTAGTAGTAAGAAAGAAAACACGTAGAAGAAAGAGTTAAGATTGAAATAAGACAAAGTTAATAAGGTAAAGAAACTCTTGAAGTAGAGAGTGAATTAAAATATAAAGGCTTTATAAATGAGAAGGTTAAAGATAAAATATCAACAAACTTGAAAGATGATGAAAACTTTTAAAATAAAAAGAAAGATTAACTGAAAGGAAGATGTTGAATAAGTGATTGAAGAAAAGATAAAGGGGCTTGAAAGTGAAACAAGCTTGATAATATCAAATAAGATTTGAGAAGAAAGGAGACTTGATAAGAATGAAAAGAATTGAATAGAGAAGAATCTCGAATAGAACAAAGAAGCTTGAACAGAGAAGAAACTTGAATAGAACAGATAAGCTTGAACAAAGGAGCTTGATAAGAATGAAAGAAGAAGTGACTTGCCGTAAAAGAGTCTTACTTGTTATATTGAAGGAGCTTTGTGCCTTGAAGAAGGCACTCTTAAATTGTAGATCTTGATTGTTGAAAGGAGAATGGGATCCAAACTTGAGTGTTGAATAGTAGATCTTGATTGTTGAGTGGGGAAGCACCTCCAAGCTTGAATGTTGGATGGTAGATCTTGATTGTTGTATGGAGAAGAATCTCTCATCTCGTGTCCACGCTGATTGCCCCTGAGGGAGACCCGGATGCACCAGACATCCCGACTCCTCGATCGTACGCTGAGGCGATCGAGGGTCCCTACTCCTCACAGTGGCAGTCAGCCATGGACGCAGAGATGGCTTCCTGGAAGTCCACAGGCACTTACGTCGACGAGGTTCCCCCACCTGGGGCGAACATCGTCAGTGGCATGTGGATTTTCAGGGTAAAGCGGCCGCCGGGTTCTCCGCTTGTCTTCAAGGCGCGTTACGTGGCTCGAGGCTTCAGTCAGCGGCAGGGAGTTGACTACTTTCAGACCTTCTCTCCCACCCCGAAGATGACCACTCTTCGGGTGCTACTGCACATAGCCGCTCAGCGTGACTACGAGCTTCACTCTCTTGACTTCAGCACAGCTTTCCTGCAGGGCAGCCTGCACGAGGAGATCTGGCTGCGCCGCCCACCTGGCTTCACTGGGTCGTTTCCCCCTGGTACCCAGTGGAGCCTCCGGCGGCCAGTCTACGGTCTCCGCCAGGCGCCCCGTGAGTGGCACGACACACTGAGGACTACACTTGCGGCTCTTGGGTTTGCTCCTTCTACTGCCGACCCGTCGCTGTTTCTGCGCACCGACACCTCTTTGCCGCCGTTCTACATCTTCGTGTACGTCGACGACTTTGTCTTTGCCACTGCTGACACTGCTGGACTCGCCCACGTGAAGTCCGAGCTGCAGAAGAGACACACGTGCACAGACCTGGGTGAACTGCGCAGCTACCTTGGCTTGCAGATCACCCGGGACAGAGCACAGTGCACCATTACCCTGACTCAGTCACACATGGTGCAGCAGGTCCTTCAGCGCTTCGACTTCACGTACTCCTCGCCTCAGGCCACTCCTCTGTCTACTCGCCACTTGCTCTCAGCTCTGCCTTCGGATGAGTCCGTAGAGCCGAGTGGCCCGTACCCAGAGCTTGTTGGCTGCCTCATGTACCTGATGACCTGCACACGACCTGACCTTGCATACCCTCTTAGCATCTTGGCACGCTATGTTGCTCCTGGGAGACACCGACCAGAGCACATGGCTGCAGCGAATAGGGTGTTGCGCTACTTGTGCAGTACGTCGGGCATGGGGCTAGTGCTTGGAGGGCGACGTCCAGTGGTCCTCACAGGTCACGCAGACGCTTTTTGGGCTGACGACCAGGCTACGCAGCGGTCGTCACAGGGTTACACCTTCAGCCTTGGTTCCGGCTCTGTTTCGTGGCGGTCTACCCGCTCGTCTTCTGTTCTCGGCTCCAGCTGTGAGGCTGAGATCTACGCGGGGGCCATGGCTGCACAGGAGCTACGCTGGCTCACCTACCTGGTGACTGACCTAGGAGCGCCGCCTCGTTCTCCTCCAGTTCTGTACGTAGACAACAAGGCCATGCTGGCCTTGTGTCGGGAGCACAGACTGGAGCACAGAACGAAGCACATTGCTCTTCGCTACTTCCTTGCTCGTGAGCTACAGCAGCGTGGTCAGCTGCGCCTTGCTTACGTGGCCTCTGAGGCCAACACTGCTGATATCTTTACCAAGGCACTTCCGCCTGGTGATCATCAGCGCTTCTGTACGATGCTAGGTCTTGTGCCTACTTGGCCTCACTTGCTCACTTCTTGACCTTGCTTGTACTGTGATCTTTCTATACCTGCACTTGCCTGTTTACCTTTATATATGATCTTGCATGTGAACTGGCCTTGTGGCCTTGCTCTTGTGCTCGGATTGTGTGGTGACGTTGTGATCCACCCTGAGCTTGCTTTGCTTTGCTTGACTGGTCTTGTGACCTCTTGTTCTCCCCCACTTTGCCTATGGGGGTGTGTCAAACTCATATGCTATGGTCTATCTAGGCTGTAGTGGGGTAGACACTATAGGGTACAACATTTCTAGGTTTCCTACTTGTACCCACCTGCTTGCTACTTCATTCATTCCTCATTTCTTCACATTCCCCCCTCCTCAATCTCTTCCCCCCTGCTCACTCTCTTCCCACTCTCTTCCCCCCTGCTCACTCTCTTCCCCCCTGCTCACTCTCTTCCCCCCTGCTCACTCTCTTCCCCCGTGCTCACTCGCTTCCCCCCTCCTCAATCTCTTTCCCCCTGCTCACTCGCTTCCCCCCTCCTCATTCGCTTTCCCTCTGCTCACTCCCCTTGTTCTAACCCCACTTTCCCCATTTCTCACCCATTTTCCCCCTTCACGCTCTCTTACCCCCTCTGCTCGCCCCTGTTTTCCCAACTCACGCCTATACTCACTCTCTCCCCCCCTGCTCACTCTCTTCCCCCCCTGCTCACTCTCTTTCCCCTTGCTCACTCTCTTTCCCCCCTTCTCACTCTCTTTCCCCCTTCACGCTCTCTTTCCCTCCCTTCCGCCCGTTGCCCCCCTTCGTCTCGCGCTCGTCCCCTCGCAATCCCCGTCTCTCTCTCCCCCCGTCGCCCTCGTTTTCCCCGTCGCCCTCCCTTCCACTCCTCGTTGCCCTCGCCATCCCTCCCTTCTCCCTTCCCATCTCGCACACTTGTCACGCCCCCTTTCCAACCCGCACATACACCCTTCCCTTCTTCCCTGTTTCCTCGTATCCCCTGCGCTGCTTCCCCCCATCCTCCGACTTGCTCCCCCCATCCCCTTCCCTGCTTCCCCCCAACCCCTTCCCTGCTCCCCCCCATCCCCTTCCCTGCTTTCCCCCTTCCCCTTCCCTGCTTCCCCCCGTCCCCTTCCCTCCTTCCCCCGTCCCCCTCCCAGCATCCCCCCATCCACTTCCCTGCTTACCCCCATCCCCTTCCCTGCTCCCCCCCATCCCCTTCCCTGCTTCCCCCTATCTCCTTCCCTGCTTCCCCCTATCGCCTTCCCTGCTCACCCCTGCTCCCTCTGTTTCACCCTTGCTCCCTCTGTTTCACCCTTGCTCCCTCCCCTTCTTCTCTGCTCACTCTCTTCCCCCTTGCTCACTCTCTTTACTTCTGCTCACTCTGTTCCCCCCTGCTTCCTCTCTTCCCCTCTGTTCAATCTGTCCCCCGCTGCTTCTTCTCTTCCCCTCTGCTCATTCCGTTTACTGTCTTTCCCCCTTCACTCACCCCCATACCCCCCAATGCAGTTACAGGTGCTCAGCACCAGATGTGGCTTTACCATGGCCTGGTTTATTGCTTGCAGTGTAGCAGACAAAACCGGAAAACAACATTACACATACACCCCCTAGCTTTGTTCCCTTCTCGGGTCTGGTGATTCCCCTCCCTTTACAGATACGGTAATATATTAATTGTTGAACTCCTTGGTATTGGTCATGTGTATGATTGCTCTGAGGCTCATAATCCTGTATTATAAAAAAAAAATCCAATATATGGCATGGCTATACGTGTGTTACTATCAGACAGCTAGCACATGCACAACCAGATGCAGAGCAGACCTGTCCAAACACAAATCAAGAAGTCAGATGTGACGTGGCTGAAGTATAAGGGAATGACAACTGGCAAATGAGGAAGGGAGGAACGGAGGAAGGGAGGAAGTGAGGAATGCAGGAATGAAGGAAGGGAGGAAGTGATGATGGGAGGAAGGGAGGTAGGGAGGACGCTTGGGGGAGAAGCAGAAGGGAGGGGAGGAAGAGAGGCTGGGGAGGAGGGTGGGGAGGAGGGTGGGGAGGAGGGTGGGGAGGAGGGTGGGGAGGAGGGTGGGGAGGAGGCTGGGGAGGAGGCTGGGGAGGAGGGTGGGGAGGAGGCTGGAGAGGAGGGTGGGGAGGAGGCTGGGGAGGAGGGTGGGGAGGAGGGTGGGGAGGAGGGTGGGGAGGAGGGTGGGGAGGAGGCTGGGGAGGAGGCTGGGGAGGAGGGTGGGGAGGAGGGTGGGGAGGAGGCTGGGGAGGAGGGTGGGGAGGAGGCTGGAGAGGAGGGTGGGGAGGAGGGTGGGGAGGAGGGTGGGGAGGAGGGTGGGGAGGAGGGTGGGGAGGAGGCTGGGGAGGAGGCTGGGGAGGAGGGTGGGGAGGAGGCTGGAGAGGAGGGTGGGGAGGAGGCTGGGGAGGAGGGTGGGGAGGAGGGTGGGGAGGAGGGTGGGGAGGAGGGTGGGGAGGAGGCTGGGGAGGAGGCTGGGGAGGAGGGTGGGGAGGAGGCTGGAGAGGAGGGTGGGGAGGAGGCTGGGGAGGAGGGTGGGGAGGAGGGTGGGGAGGAGGGTGGGGAGGAGGGTGGGGAGGAGGGTGGGGAGGAGGCTGGGGAGGAGGCTGGGAGGAGGCTGGGAGAAGGCTGGGGAGGAGGCTGGGGAGGAGGCTGGGGAGGAGGCTGGAGAGGAGGGTGGGGAGGAGGCTGGGGAGGAGGCTGGGGAGGAGGGTGGGGAGGAGGGTGGGGAGGAGGGTGGGGAGGAGGCTGGGGAGGAGGCTGGGGAGGAGGGTGGGGAGGAGGGTGGGGAGGAGGGTGGGGAGGAGGGTGGGGAGGAGGGTGGGGAGGAGGGTGGGGAGGAGGCTGGGGAGGAGGCTGGGGAGGAGGCTGGGGAGGAGGCTGGGGAGGAGGGTGGGGAGGAGGCTGGAGAGGAGGGTGGGGAGGAGGCTGGGGAGGAGGCTGGGGTGGGGCGGAATGGGGTGGGGCAGAAAGGGGTGGGGCGGAATGGAGTGGGGCAGAAAGGGGTGGGGCGGAATGGGGTGGGGCGGGGCGGAATGGGGTGAGGCGGATTGGGGAGATGAGGGATGGGGAGATGAGGGATGAGGAGATGAGGGATGGGGAGGTGTGGGATGGGGAGGAGAGGGCTGGGGAGGAGAGGGATGGGGAGGTGAGGGATGAGGAGGTGAGGGATGGGGAGATGAGGGAAGGGGAGATGAGGAATGGGGAGATGAGGGAAGGGGAGATGAGGAATGGGGAGATGAGGGAAGGGGTAATGAATGAACGTGTATGCGACGGAAGGGTGCTGCTGACCACGCACCCTCCCACACCCCACGCGATGGGAAGGGATGAGAGGGTGGGCGGCATGGGTAGAGAAGCGATGGTGGAGAGGGGGAACGTGATGGGCAGGGGAGTGATGACGACGTGGAGAGAGGAGGAGAGAAGGGAGGTCGGCGGGAAGGCTAAGCGAGGACGATGGGAGGGCAAGCGTGGGCGACAGTGGCGGTGGGCGACGGTGGCGGTGGGCGACGGTGGGGAGAAGCGTGGGCGACGGTGGGGGGAAGCGTGGGCGACAGTGGGGGGAAGCGTGGGCGACGGTGGGGGGAAGCGTGGGCGACGGTGGGGGGAAGCGTGTGTGACGGTGGGGGGAAGCGTGGGCGACGGTGGGGGGAAGCGGGGGCGACGGTGGGGGGAAGCGTGGGCGACGGTGGAGGGAAGCGTGGGCGACGGTGGGGGGAAGCGTGGGTGACGGTGGGGGGAAGCGTGGGCGACGGTGGGGGGAAGCGTGGGCGACGGTGGGGAAAGCGTGGGTGACGGTGCTCCGAAGCGTGGGCGACGGTGGGAGGAATCGTGGGCGATGAGAGGGGAAACGTGAGGGAAGGTGGGGAAAGGCGTGAGCGACGGTGTGGGGGAAGGCCGGAGGAAGCGTGAGCGGCGATAAGGGGAAGCGACGGTGGGGGAAAGCTTGGGCGACGGTGGGAAGAGTGGGCGTGTGCGTGGGGACATCTCAAAAATGAGAAGCGTTGGTCGTATGTTTTAGAAAGTCACCTTTTGTGCAAGGTGGGTTGGTGGTAGATTTGTGGTATGTGCAGTGTCTCTGCAGTAACTTTCGCGCTGCTTTCGAGGCTCGACTGCAGCCAGACTCTGCTCAGTTCGTAGTAACTAGGACGTATGTTTTTTTAGCCAGCCAATCCTAGCCTCTGCGAGCCAGATCGGGGTGAACTGGCGTGGAACCGCGCGAGCTCCTGGTTCGACATTCTACACCTCGGAATAGTAGGAACTGTTTTGCGGAATGTGGGGCTTGTACAGCAGCTATGTTACATGTTTTATTATATAAGTACTTGTTCAGTAAAATATGCATAATAAAACCAGTGTGGAACCAAATTTGAATTAGAAGATTTGATGCAGGAACAAAGTGTGTATTTTATTTTGACATCTAAGTTGCAGATCATGAGCTCTCTTAACTCACAAATTCAGATTTTTTTTATTATGGTTTGTGTACATTCCACTTATTCTTTTTTCCGTGTCATACGAACCAGATTATTGGAAATTCATCGTCTAACGAGGCAGAAGTTTGGACTCGACCTGTCTGAGATGATGGTGTCGTTTTAGTTGCACCGTTTCCATTATTTATATAATATATAAGCTACTATAGGTCTAGTTAAATTCTAGATTTGATTGCATCCATCCTAAGAAGGTCCTAGCTATCAGATACTGAGAGAAAATATAGGGTCTAGGTACCACGCTCATCCACATCATCCTCCACCTTCTCCAGACTTCTTCCAGACCTTCTTCCAGACCTTCTCCCCTACCCCGAAGATGACCACTCTTCGGGTGCTGCTGCACGTTGCCGCTCAGCGTGACTACGAGCTTCACTCTCTTGACTTCAGCACAGCTTTCTTGCAGGGCAGTCTGCACGAGGAGATCTGGCTGCGCCGCCCTCCTGGCTTCACTGGGTCGTTTCCTCCTGGTACCCAGTGGAGCCTCCGGCGGCCAGTCTACGGTCTCCGCCAGGCGCCACGTGAGTGGCACGACACACTGAGGACTACACTTGCGGCTCTTGGGTTCGCGCCCTCTACTGCTGACCCGTCGCTGTTTCTGCGCACCGACACTTCACGGCCGCCGTTCTACATCCTCGTGTACGTCGACGACTTGGTCTTTGCCACTGCTGACACTGAGGCTCTCGCCCACGTGAAGTCGGAGCTGCAGAAGAGACACACGTGCACAGACCTGGGTGAGCTGTCAAGCTATCTTGGCTTGCGGATCACCCGGGACAGAGCACGCCGCACCATCACACTGACTCAGTCACACATGGTGCAGCAGGTCCTTCAGCGCTTCGGCTTCACCTGGTCCTCGGCACAGGCCACTCCTCTGGCTACAGGTCACTCGGACGAGTCCGTAGAGCCGAGTGGTCCTTACCCAGAGCTAGTTGGCTGCCTCATGTACCTAATGACTTGCACTCGACCTGACCTCGCGTACCCTCTTGGTCTGCTGGCTCGCTACGTGGCTCCTGGTCGGCACCGGCCTGAGCACATGGCTGCCGCTAAGAGGGTACTGCGCTACTTGTGCAGCACATCAGGCATGGGGCTAGTGCTTGGAGGGAAGAGCCCAGTTGTCCTCACTGGGCACTCAGACGCTTCTTGGGTTGACGACCAGGCTACGCAGCGGTCGTCACAGGGTTACACCTTCAGCCTTGGCTCTGGTTCAGTTTCTTGGCGTTCTACACGCTCGTCTTCAGTTCTCAGCTCCAGTTGTGAGGCTGAGATCTACGCCACAGCCATGGCTGCACAGGAGTTACGCTGGCTCACCTACCTGCTGACCGACTTGGGAGAGCAGCCTCGTTCTCCTCCAGTGCTGTACGTCGACAACAAGGCTGCCATTGCCTTGTGTGAGGAGCACAGACTGGAGCACAGAACGAAGCACATCGCTCTGCGTTACTTCTTGGCTCGAGAGTTGCAGCAGCCTGGTCAGCTTCGTCTGCGTTACGTGGCCACTCGGGCCAACACTGCTGATATATTCACCAAGGCACTTTCGCCTGGTGATCATCAGCGCTTGTGTACCTTGCTTGGCCTTGTGCCCACGTTTCCTCACTTGCTGTAGACTCTGCTTGTACTGTGATCTATATATCTATACCTACTTGCTTGCTCTGTTAGGTAGAGATCACTGTACTGCTGTTGTTGCATATATATCTTTGCATGTGAACTGGCCTTGTGGCCCTTTGCTTGTGCTCAGAGTGTGTGGTGACGTTGTGATCCACCTTGAGCTTGCTTTGCCTCTCTTGACTGGTCTTGTGACCCCTTGCTCTCCCCCACTTTGCCTATGGGGGTGTGTCAGATTATGTATGCTATACATGCTTAGGCTGTAGTGGGGTAGCCAATATAGGGTACAACCCCTTCTAGGGTTTGACATTTGTACCCAACTCTTCCATAGTTCATTCATTCCTGCTGCTTGATTCTAACAACTGCAGCTAGCGTCAATCCCCTGTGCTGCTATGCCCTTCCGCCAGGCCCCTAGATTCGTTTTGAGGCACGCTGATCGATCAGCGTCCACCCCTGTTGGAGCTCTGTGAGTCAGTGTGGCATCAATTTTTTAGGCTGAAAATTCAGACAACCTAATTTTTTTAGGCTGAACTTTCAGCGTGAGGTTCAAATCTTAAGCGGATCATGCATATTCATAAAAACATGGGAATTAAACATATCACACGTCAGTTTGTAGGAAAGGTGGGGTGGGGTGGATGTTTGTGGTGTCGTGTACTGCAGGGTCCTCGCTACGTGTATCAGACATTTTTGTCTGACTCAACAGAAGCGGATTTCATGTTTCGTAGGTTGCTTGGATTTTCGGTTACAGTTCTGACACAGCAGATCTGCTGTGGGGCCAATCTCTTGTCCGTGACAAGGCAAATTTCTTGTGTCAGGGCGAATTTGCCCCGACAGGGCGAATCTGAAGTGTTGTGAAGGGGCGAATACATGTTGTGCGAATTGCTTTGTCAGGGCGAATCTGCAGTGACCAGTCAAGCCCGAATCTGCTGTGCGGTGCCGCGCGGGGAAAATTTCGATTTCTCGCCCGTGATTGACTGTGTTAGCCGTACACTGTAATGCCAGTTTCACTCTGGACCCCCTATACAAGGCTGAGTGCACAGCCTACACTCTTACAAAAAGGCTGAAAAATCAGCCATGGTTAAAAATTAAACGCTGAAAAATCAGCCAAGGTACATAACAAAAAACTTTGGATTCAGCCTACCCCTAAAAAAAAGCCTGATCTAACGCTGAATCAGCGTATAAAGGCTGATATCTAGGGCGCTGCCTTCCGCTTTCCCTTGACGACCGTGATAGCCCAGCTAACTTCCTTCGCAGGTCGTCGCTTCTTAGACACGCGCTACAGCTTTAGGGTGTCGTCCTAATTTGGTTCATACTTTCGCAGGGAGATGCACATCCGGACGGCAGGCCATGAGTTGATGCCGTTTTGCCGACTAAACCCCCGCTCTTAGTCCACGGTGTTGCGCGGCATCAAAGCGACGGCGATCTAGAGACGCACGAGGTTCGGGAGAGTTGTCTCCAAGTCCCCGCTCGTCAGCAGTTTCTTAAGGCTGTTGTGAAATTACTGGGCCTTAAACTGCACCTGCATCATCCGAGTGAAGGGGAGGAGCTACCGCTATGCCTTTTTCCAGTTAACACGTGGACTAAAAGCCACTAGTTAGTGTTACGATATGAAATCACATTAGAAGGCATTCATGTATGCTGCAGGAGCCGACTCTACCGAGTACGAAGTAGAGGAGTCAGAAGAGTCGATGCGACGCAGCAACCGTCTGACCAAGACCGATGCAAGCAAAAACATTTGAAACGAAAAGAGCGGAAACAGGTTTGAAACGGGTTCCCGCGCAACACGGTTTGAATTCGCGGTCATAAGGGAATGTACCCCTTAGAGTACATGGCTAGTTTAGGTCATTTCGTATTCCCTTGTATTCCTATATAAACCCAATGTATGCATGCTATTATCATCTCAGTCATTTACGTTCACTCTGACCTGAGTTCACTACTTCCGCTGCAACACTACTATGCGATCAACCCTGAGCGATCCTTCTCTAAGTCCCACTTGGGATTGTAACATGGTATGAGAGCTACTCAGGGATTCTTCGCAACGTCACTTCCGTAAAATTTCGCCCAACCCAGATCTGGCGAAAGGACTACAAACTTGCCGGAATGGCGACGTGGGAACTTCTTCCCAACCCTAGTTTGTGTTGGGTTCACACCTTAGAGGGTACAACCCAACTCTCTCGACATCCTTGTACCCCCTCCCTCTAACCTAATCAACATTCCTTCCTAGTATTCTATAGAGGTATTAAGATCTAGGACGTTCCTAGCCTAGGACCGTAATTAGGGGCCCACCACATTCGTTTTCACCTGCCCGACCGTTAGTTTCCCGCGCTCGCTTGCGCCGCCGTGCCTTCCTTGTGTCGAGGGGCCCGGGTTGGCGGGGCACTGGCCCTAGTGAAGGCGGAGCTGCAGGAGAGACACACCTGCACTGACCTGGGTGAGCTGCGGAGCTATCTTGGCTTGCAGATCACCCGGGACAGAGCACGGCGCACCATCACCCTGACTCAGTCACACATGGTGCAACAGGTCCTTCAGCGCTTCCGCTTCACGTACTCATCGCTACAGCACGTGTTACCTGGACAGCTGCTGTCCAGGTAACATAAGGTGGGCTCTGAGCGTTACATATCCAACGCCGTCGCAACTCCCGCCGTGACCT